TCATCATCATATGTTTCTTCTGTTAGAAACGATGCAAAAGTAGGGGCGATTAGCCAATTCGTTAGCTGCACTGAGCAAACTGTTAAATGTCGCAATTCATCAAACGAGCAGTTTTGCAACAGTTTTCTTACAAGTTGTGTAACTTTTCTTAAAGTCTTTGAGTGATTTCATTCACATACCTCCTAGATAGACTCAGGAATTGATGTGAGACATCGAGGATTCAATGAATTATCATTATTTCGATGGAATGATCTATTTTTTATTCATTTAATATGCACATTTCGGTTAATAAAGTTGTGTGTAAACAGTATTAATGGTTTGATTTGCATTAATAACTCTTTCACTCTAATTGATGCATGAATGAAACTTTTTCACTGCTCACTTTCTGATGTGCCACTTAATTGAACCAGGTGGATAAATATGAAAATTTTATTAAGAAAATTTTCAAAATTCGCAATTTTAATGAAAAATTCCACATAACCTCACGATCAGCTCCTTTCCCGGTTGTATAAACTTTATCACCTAGCATCCGATAAACTATAATTGTAATCAGTGTGTTCTGTAATGTCAGAGCTGTTTCCAGTGAAAAATAATGTCCGTCCNTATCAGGGTGAAAAAATTCTTTTATGAACACTTTAATGTTGATGATTTAGTGTTGTTTTGCGTTGAATTCTGTTTTGTTTTTTTTCGCATTTCACTGAGTGGATTTGATTGTGTATTGATTGCACGAGCACAAGAGGATTTTATTCGTGGTAGCAGCGGTACGATGATTGCTTCATAAATTTTCATGAGCTTATCGTTCGACGTTTGAAAAATTTCTGGTAAATTAATTCGACTTATGTAGAGTATTTAGCCGTTTCACATTGCGTTGTATTGTGATGCTGTGTATAACTTTCTGCTTGCTTGTATTCGTTGAAATGTACACGCGCAGTTCTATGTAAACCACTCATTTTCATGCGATAATTGAGTTAGTAAATTCTCGTCGAATTGCAGATATTTTTTGTGCATATTGATAGGTGAAATCAGTTGGGAGTGTAACGCGTTTGTGATGAGCAGAGAACAGCTGATCAGGAAGCAGTACCCGTTACATTGGGCTGTATTCCGCAAGGACTGTGAAGAGCTGATGGAGCTGTTGGAAGACGACAGCTCAGAGCAGTTCATCAATAAACTGGATGTACGAGGTAAGCATTTCTCTTTCCGGATGCTTGTGAAGTTTATGATCCGAATCAGTCTGTCCTATATCCCAGTTTGGTCTCAATCTGAATAAATCTATGGTATTTGAATGAATATCCAAAAATGTTCATTTTTATTCAATTTGTTCGTTTTCATTTTGAAAACTAAATGTTCATTATTGAATAAACTCTACTGTTCTCATGAATACTGTCCAAAAAATTCTTGATGGTTTGGAAATGTTTAAGAAAATGTCACTGAAATATTTTTCCTTATAAAACGCCTACCTACGCATTTCATATGTTTATTCATGTCAGATACCGTTGAATTTTTAAACACTTCTGGTCGTATTCCGATTTCACGATTGTATGATTAAAATTGTGCTGAGGAACTGATTGAATAGGGAGATTTCAATTTCAGGTAGAACCCCGTTGATGTTAGCCGTAACGTTAGGACATGCGGATTGTGCGAAGGCATTACTGGAGAAGGGTGCCGATGCAAATATTCAGAATGCAGGTAAATAAAGGGCTCGTTTTACAAACCTCTCTCAAATTGAGATTCACGGAATCCGTATCATTGACCTCTTGGAAAAGTCAATTTTCGTGCAGCAAATCTTCATTAATGTTGCTTCTGCATCCCGTAGAAATGAAAGCTTGCAGATATGTGGTCAGTTAGTCATGAGGCGATATGTAGTGGAGATGCGGAACTGCTTCGTTTAATCTTAAAATATCGTGATTACCAAAGAGCTATCCGTACGAATCATGCTACTGAGCGTTTGCTACGATTGTTAAAGGTTTCAGTTCTTTGGACTTGTAACCTTATCCTGATTGTTGGATTATCTGTTGTTTACTAGGCAATTGATATTCTTGTAGATGTGAGAATGTCTACAGGATTTTCTAAAAGTTTCGTGACGCATTCACTAGTTAATTGAATGTGGAAGTATTGTTGATTTTGTGATATGCGAAAACTTTCAGTAAGATTATATTTGGATACGTTGAACATCTGTTGTTGACAATTTACAGTTTATGCACAAACCATCGTCGTGTTCGTATTTAAGATTCGATGATAATTTTCAGCAAACCGACGATTTTTACGTAGAAATGAGTTGGGAATTCAC